TCCTTTCTTCCTTCCTTCCTTCCTTCCTTCCTTCCTTCCTTCCTTCCTTCCCTCCTTCCTTCCCTCCTTCCTTCCTTCCTTCCTCACAGTCACAAAAAAAATTAAAAGTGCCAGCAAAATAAGTCACCAGATAAGTCTTCCTTCCTTCCTTCCTCTGCTACTCTGTGTGCTGTGCTCAATAATGACACAGTTATTTTTTGACAGAGAGAAGCATTTGTAGAAAGCATTTCTCACTGCTTCTCACAGAGGCTGAATGCTATCTGCATAGATACACACCAAGTATTCAGCAGATATTAGACTGCTATTTGAATCTTTGAGGTCAAGGCTGGGGGCAGCTTTGCAGGCTAGCACACGTGATTCCTTAAGTGTGTCTACATAGGCATGAATGGACACCTACTTTTGGTCCTGGAGAGAGCACTGTGCCAGGCTGACACCACCATTCCCTCAGGGTTCCCCTCTGCTCTAGAGCAGCATAAACCACTCTGTTTAGAGCAGTGTGGAATAAGTCCTACGCCTAGCCACCTACCACAGGTAGTCCTACAGCACCCCAGCTCCTTCCAAGTGACTAGCTAGCTGACATGGGGAATATACTGATGATACCTTTCTACCATCCTCTGTCCACTCCCACTGAGTAGTCTGAGCAAGTCTGGTTTAACCCATGAGGTAAGAAGCTGTGGGGACAACCAGACTGACCATGACCATTTGGGCACCTAAGAAAGAGTGGGGTGAAATCTAGCTTGCAAGAAATGCATGCTTCACTAAGAGGGGAAGATGGTACTTAACCAGAAGAGACAGCTTACGTTTATTTGCCGAGAGCTGGGATTTATATTGGCCTCGAACCAACCGGCAGGTGGACCCATCACCATTGCAGACCCCACAGTTATCTTCCTTGACAGCACTTCCCAGCTGGCGGTCACAGCCAACGATCTGGCAAGAAAAAAAGGATGTGCAGTTCAACGTGAGCACCTACCAACTGACTGCTCGATCCATCTCTGCAACTAATTACTGCTAAATTTCTCTCTCAGCATCTCTAGAGGGCCATAAAGTACCTTAGCAATGAAAGAGGCTGAGCAAATCTGGCTGGGAGTTTGCACTGAAGTCAGACGTGAGATAGTGAGCAGGTTAGTACTCAATGGCTTTTGCAGTCCAGAGGAAGAAAAGAGTATTGTTGGAGGTTGTTATTTTAGGGCTTTGTGAATAGTTCTTGATCAGAGTCCTATCAGAAATTTCACTTCTTAGAGTTTCACAAAGAAAAATGCCTGAAACAGATAAGAAGACAGATAGGAAGCAGACAGATAGATAAAAGAAAAGAGCAACATAGATCAATAGTAACATGGCTCAGTGAAATTTTACCTGCTATGCAGCTGGGAAAACCATGTGGTTTTAATTATGTTTGACAATAATCCCATTCCACGCTGTCAATGCCTATGTTCAGACATTGCAAAAGATCTGATAAAGAAGGAGGGAAGGATTTCAACAAAAGAATTGAGAGTCAGAAATGAAATTACCTGCACTGAAACTGGCTTTACACTTATGTGGAAACTGCTTGGTTAAAAATTTCAGAAGTTGAATACATAAACTAGTCTTCTCAGTTTGCAAAAGCCCTGTAATCCCTAGGAGAATCAAATATGACTTTATAATTAAGTACATTTAAAATTAATGGAATACAAATTTATTTAACACAGCACTAATGCAGGACTTTTGTATGAACTTTGAATTCTGCATCCAAGTTATGAATTTTACACATTAATAATGGAAATAAGAAATTTTAAAAGTCCATACAGTGTTATAATTGTATTTACAAATACTAGAAATCAAAGGCCACCTAGCATTCTGTCATGTAGAAAAAGCAATGAATAATATTTATATATATATATTATACTTCTAATGAGTTTGTGCTAAGACTCTTAGCCAAACAGAGAGTATATTTAAAGATAGGGAATTTTTAATAAAATGCTTATTTCAGCTTTAAATTTCACTGCATCTCTGAGTTCCAGTTAAAACAGAGAGCTGGGTTCTAGAAACTGGTAAGAGCAAGTAGGGCACTTATCATCCAGGCTCATTATTTGACTAGTGGCACAATAGGAGTTTCCTTGGTTATCTGTCACATTGACAGTGTAATTAATTTAATTTAAACCGTTATAAATTTAGATTCAGGTTTGATGAAAGCTATCATCAAATTTCTTTGACTTTAGCCACTTCCAGGTCAGAACTGGATTGAGCCTCCTATGCTTATGCATTATATGTTGATGTCTCCAAGGGAGTTAATGAGGCTTAATGGATTAACAGTCACACATAAATAATACATTTCCCTGAAAACCTAGTCCTACCAAGACTGCAAGAGACATTTTGACACATTAGAAACACCATGACAAATAATGGTTAGAAAGCTGAAGCAAAGTTGAGTATCTTGTTTGTGACTGCTCCTCCATACAGAACTTCCAAGCACAGGTATAGAAATTCATGATACCAAGTAAGATTCAGGTCTATTTTTTTTTTGCATAAGAACATCCCTACAGGAGCTGAACCACCTTTGATACACACAGACTGATTTGCTTTAACTTCCATGAATACCTCTGTGTAGAGAAGATGGTAAAGAATCACTTGCATGAATTGAAAATGGTACAACAAATCAGATCAGCTTCTTTCTAGTGCATTACAGATCACTAGCACCCACAGTGAGAAGCGTCCTGCTGAGGAACCCAGATATAAGGTCAGAATTTCCTTTCATACCTGCTCATATTATATTTTATACCAAATAAAATACACACTCAATAGTTCAGTTCACAGTGATACACAAACCTTTATGCCTTTGAACCTTTTGAAAAGAGTAAATGAACTGCTTGGATGTGAAATGGACTGAATCTTAGATCCAGGTATGAGGTAACCAATTTCACAACCCAACATTTACAACTTTAAAGCATTTTTAACCTTATGAATCATCAGCTCACATGTTGCCATGGGCTGAACCCTGAGTAAAGTTTATTTATAAATTGAACAACTTGAAGCTAGGTCACAACTTGTAGAGGAAACCGACAGGAAATTCTCAGGTGTGAAAGGAAGTTAGTATGAGGTTTGTTTCTTTTTTTTTTGAGTTGGACAGCCATTACTAGTGTATAGCATAAAAATTTTTCTTTGCTGAAATGCTGTATTTCAAATGGAAGTATGAGCACAATGGAAGTATGGAGACCTCTGTGAATACCAAAACTTATGTGGTATGTACAAAATGTATTTGTATTTATTAGTGTCTGATATAATTTTATACTATTAAAAATTCTGAGGGAATTAAGTAAGTTTCCTATTTCTCCCCAAGGTTTCTGTAGAGCTTTTTGGTTTACTCTGTTAAATTATCTGTTCTAATAGATATGCAGACCTCTGGGAATATGTATGAAATTTTCATTAAAAACCTTTATGAGTGATTAAATAATGCCCGAAATAAAAAAATGTTACTAAGTTCCCTGCTTTTTTCCTTTTCTTTTTTTTTTCCTCTCCATCACTATCTAGGGAAATCCTTCTTCCATCTTTTGAAGGTAATTACATGCAGTAAAAAGGTTGTTGAGTTTGCAATGTAGTCACTGATGCTTTAAAATGAAAAATTCTTACATGAAGACATTATATAGGCTGGACTCCTATGAAACCAAAAGATCAGACAAGGAAATATTAAAGTGCTTCTGAAAAAAATACACAGTTCATGATAATAATAACTTTTGCCTCTGAGCAGAAGAAACATGAGTTTGACTGAGTTGAGATGAAAACATGAAATTTCCACACCATTATTTTCATTTTCCATCAAGGCTACAGAGGACTCACTGAAAAAGCTGAAGAAATAGGTGAAAATACATCACCACTCAACCAGAAATTTGCAGAGTTCACATGGAACAGGAAGGCATAATTGTTTATTTCAGCATCCATCCGTAACACGAGCAAAACACAGAGGAGACGTTTTGAAACACCTGTTATCAGAGGTGCCAAATCTGCAACACACTGGGAGAGGCCAGCTATCAGGAAAAGCAGATTCACTTGGGCTGTAGGACCAGAAAAAACTGCTGTGACACTGACCTATGGGCATACTCATATGACTACACGTGGTTGAGGACCTTGCCATGAAAATAAGCACCATGGAAGGCACTGCTTGATCAGTTTGGTAGGCACAAGGAGAGAATAAGGATATTGTACCTCTAATCCTCAGCTCAGAGTAATGGTTTAGTGGACACAAACCATTGGTTTGAAACAAAATACTGATATTTTTGAATCAGAGGTCTGGGGAATATTCCACCCTCTGAAAAGCTTTGAAATGTCAACTCCTTGTCTTGGTTTGAAACTGGAACCAATGTTGAAACCCTGAAGTTTCTGTGGGATGGAAACTTCCTTTTCCAATGCATTCTAGTCCTGATCTTACTATATCCTGTGTGTGTGTGTGTGTGTGTGTGTGTGTGTGTGTGTGTGTGTGTGTGTGTGTGTGTGTGTGTGTGTGTGTGTGTGTGTGTGTGTGTGTGTGTGTGTGTGTGTGTGTGTGTGTAAATGGATTACTGCAACAAATTGTGCCTGGAAATGTTCTGAAGTAAGCAGTTTTTGTACTCATTTCTATAACACGTTAAACTTCCTCCCCTTAAAGCAGGGTAATGAAGCACAGACTTTCCAGAGTGCAATCTTTAGAGTTTCAAATTGCTGAATTGCGGTCAGAGGCTTGAACTGCAGATTGTTACCGCACAAAATGTCAGAAACAGCTCCATTAAATTCCCTGACAATCTAATCCAAACCCCATTAAAATCAAGAACATGCACTTAAAAGTTCGATAAGGTTTGAATGAAGCTCTTGTACAGTTCTAAAGGTGCTCCTATGAAGCTCATTACTATTGTGGTTAAGTGCCCTTAAACAGTAAAAGCAGATTATGCAGAGCTCTGGATGTGTCTCAGTATACGGAAGATGCCAGCCATGTAGCATCAGTGTGAGGAAATCACAGGTGAGTACCAACTCCCTGCCCAGCTCTTTTTTACCACCTCTAAAGTGAGCTTACTTTTTATTCTCCTTATGGGTTTAGCATAAAAAGGCTAGTAACAAAAAGCCAGAATAATAACAGCTAATCCCTAGTTGGCCAAGCCTGTATTGTTTTCTGGCATGAGATACCACAGTTCTGCTCAGAGGTAAAGATTCCATATTATATTTTAGGCTGAAGTCCCATACTTCATGCTGTGTTTGATTCTCACACGCACACATTTTTACTCCACTGACAGCCCATGGGTTGGCAAAAGAGAAAAATAGGGATATTCCTCACTCTATAACACCTTAGCAAAACAATTTTTACAGGGCACTGCAAGAAAGAAAGATGGTCACCAAGTTAGCAGATTGACTGCTTGTGTATAGTTTAAAGGCATCAGGCTGAAAGTCCCACAACAGGAGTTGGAACTAACTCATTGAGTGCATGCACGATTGTTACGTGTGCATGTGTTCCCCTTGCAGACTTGAACTCTGACTTAGTTTAGCAGATTTTTCCAGAAACAAAACTGGACCAGCAATGACAGGTTCTGCTTCAGCCCTGCTAGTCTGAAAATGCCCTGAAGTAAGAAGTTTTCATAATTTCTATTCAGTATTAAGAAACTCTGGGCAGGAAATAATGTAATAAAGCAAGCTTGCAAATCTATCCTATTATAAATAAATCTCTCTGTTTTTCAAAGGCCATGTCTGAAGTTCAAACACAAGAAGTTCTGAGAATCTGAGAAAAGCAAAGTTGCCCTTCACATGGATACTAGTTTGGGGCCCAATCTGGAACTTGTATTGATTGTCACCGCTCAGATGTTCAAAGTTCTGGGTTAGAGCCATCACTTCAACTGGGTTTAAAATCCTGTTTTACAAGAAGGATGAAGAGGTGTTGTACTCTTTAAATTATTGTAAAAAGAAAAAGCTTGAGCCTGTCCATCAAAATTGCA